GCATACCACCTTTTGTTTGAACCCACCTATTTTTCAAGTGAGAAAAACTATTGGAACATGTGACTGACAGGTGTTTCTTGTTCCTTTTCAGATTGATTGTTTAAACATTAAATAGATCTGTATGACTACTCTTGGGTTTCACTTGTAAAAACTGCATTTCTTGTTAAAAAGGATAAACCATCATGAAAAGGAGAAAGTTATGGGAGAAAAGCATGCCATTTTGAAGCCGTGAAAAGAAGGAAAATTGATCAGAGTCATTGAACAAACATTGGGCACACAATATCCTGAAAAAGAAGGAACCTACTGGTATATTGAGCAACAGACATAGAACAGGTTGGGCTAAAGAAAACAACAGCAGTTGATGAGAGAAACATTGTGAGAACTGTGAGGAAAAACCCCAAAACAACAGTCAGTGACATCACCAATGATCGCCACAGGGCAGTGGTGAAGATTTCACAATCAAACATTTGTAGACTTTGAGAGCAGAAATATAGGGGCCAATACTACAAGGTACAAACCCATCATTAGTAGTAAGAATTGGAAGGTCAGATTGAAGTATGCAAAGAAGTACACAGATGTTCAACAAAAGTTCTGGAAGAAGGTTTTATGGGCTGATTAGACCAAGATTAATCTCTATCAAAGTGATGGAAAGGCCAAAATGCGGAGAAAGAAAGGATCTGCTTATGATCCAAAGCACACAAAAGCATCTGTGAAGCTTGGTTGAGGCAGTATCCTGGCATTTTTTTGGAACAGGCTAATTCATATTTATTGATGATTTAAATCATGATGGTAGCAGCAAAATGAATTTAGAAGTCTACAGAAACATTTTGTCTGCCAATTTACAGAGAAATGCATCCAAAGTTTATTATGCATCAGGACAAAATGCATCCAAAGTTTATCATGCATCAGGACAATAATCCAAAACAGACTGCCAACACAACAAAGGACTTCATCAGGGGGAAAAGTGGATAGTTTTAAACTGGCCAAGTCAATCACCAGACTGTATGTAACCCAACAGAGCCTGCATTTCATCTCCTAAAGAGGAGACTGAAGGAAGAAACATCCCTGTAACAAACAAGAAATGAAAGAGGTTAGGTTAAAAGTCTGGAAAGCATCACAAATGTAGAATGTAACAGTTTGGTGATGTCAATGGGTGGCAGGCTTGATACAGTTATTGCAAGCAATAATTATTCAACTAAATATTAAATGTTATTTACTTTAAGACAATCTCTTCCTTTACTTTTGTTCACCTAAAAATAGAGTGATCTAATACAAAAGATGCTATGTCCTAAGCTGTTTAACACATCTAAAAGTAAAAACTAGAAAATAAAAGCTGAAATTTTGAACTGTTGTCTCATATTCATCTTTTGATCTTAAACCCAAATGTCTTCAGTGAACAAAACAAAGGAATTGGCCTTGTTGTTCCAATAATTTTGGAGGTGACTGTGTACATATATATATATATATATATATATATATATATATATATATAAGTGAACATTGAAGTCAACACTCAGAGGTGACATACTGTTTCATGCTAAACGTAATCATCAAACTACCAATCTTCTTTATATATATATATATATATATATATATATATATATATATATATATATATATATATATATATATATTGCTTAAAATTTGATATTTTTATATGGGTGATTGCTCAATATTGGTGATAAAGCATCTGTAGACATAAAGTGTAGAAACCAACAGCACATGGTGACTGACAGTTTTACACCTTCATCAGATCATTTATTATTCCTTTTTGTGTGTCTGTCTCTCTCTCTCTCTATATATATATATATATATATATATATATATATATATATATATATATAGGCAACAGTGGTTAAATGAAAATTCCACATGCATAGACCAGATTCTGGACAACCAAGATCAATGTATTGTAACGTAGACTCTATGGTGTCCACAACTCAGAGCAAATGTGGCCACAGAAGTGCCAAAATGGACTATTAGGAACTATGTGCAGCAGGACACTGGGCATACATGTCTCAAGTCAAACTCTTTTATACATTTCCAGTGTTGTCATTAAAGGGTCACCTGGAGAATCAAATTTCACTCTTTTGATTTGATTCTCCAGGTGATGTTCAGAGTAAGTTTTTGCCTTCATGCAAGTGATTGTCATTTGTATGAGTGTTATAGACCTGAACAGTAATATCTTTCTGAGTTTATACACCCAATCCCTGACATCATGTTGTGGAGTGCAATAATTTACAACCTTTACTCACCTTTGGTATTTGTAGAGGTAATGCTGAACAGTACCAAGTATGCCCAGAAAATTGTTCAACCCATTCTGCTGTCATTCCTGCAACAGGAAGGCAATGTGTTGTTTCAATAGAATAATACCCACTGACACGATGTCTGTGCTACTCAACATACTCTGCCAAATGTTTGACACTTCCTTGGCTGGCACAATCATCAGGCTTATTCTCCACTGAACCTGAATGTGACAACTGATTCATTTGATTAACCTGCCTAAAAGGAGACACAAAATAATGTATTGTGAAATCCAGGTAGTCTATACAATTGTATGTGCATGAGAGTAAATTTCTGTGTTAATTCCCAAATAAGATAAAATACCAAGAAACTAAGAACTGCTATTTTTTGGAATAGACTCCCATGTGGATGCTTCCCTGAACACTACACTCTTAACTTCAAATCTAGGGTCAATTGTTATTTATCCTCCACATCCTCTTACATTCATATCACACACCTCGCTCTACCGTTAATGGCTCTTGATCTTTGTATTGGGTAAACTGCTATAAAAAAGTATGTACAGTGTATTAACATGGACTATGAATACTGTTGATATGCCTCTTATTTTTGTGCATATTGATCTATATATGTATGTGATAATTTACCATAACTTAGCTATATTACTTTTATATTTAACCTTGAGCAAATTGGAACACATATTTGGAATGTTTCAATTTTATTTTCCATCAGTATCGATTTATTAAAAAATAAATTGAAGAAAATTGTCATGTGTACCTTGAGCCGGTTCTATTCCTTCTAATATTACAGTATCAACAAATTCAGATATATAAAATCTTAAAGTAAACCTTGGCATTATGATTCATTCTATCTTGACATATGTAATGTAGATATTTATATCACATATATTTTGTAATGATTTGAGTTTGACTTCCATCAAGAAGGAAATGATAAAAATTCCTTTTGCTGTACAAATTAACATTTAAGGAAGCAATTCTTTTTTGGAGGGGTGGTATGTGAATATCAAATTTCAGAAGCCTTGTTCTGTAAAATACATGCCTACTTGCAATAATTATCTATCTGCAAGCCTCTTGTACTTAAGAAAGAAAAATATTTATAAAAAGTAAGAATGAAAACAATAAAGAGAAGATAGATTTTCAAATGCTTTATTCATCTCATATCCATACAAAAAAAGACCTTTGTGAATGTAATAACTGCTGGTTGTTGAATGATTTTAATGGCTTGCTACAAAACATTCTAAGAAAATTTCAACCTTGGACTTGGCTGGTGAGAGCCTCATAACAATAGAACAAATTGGTTTAAAGGGACTGCCAGTCAATGAAAAGTTAAGAAACTGGCTGCCTAACACCAGAGAAACTTTAAAAACAGAGCAACAATGTCAACTCTCATAGCAGATAGAATTTGTAGCATTCTCTCATGAAAAAATTAGGAGAGAATGCTTTCAACAAGATTCAAAATGTAAAGTGTAAAATGAACTGTCAACAATTGTAATACCTGAGAAAATGTAGAGAAAAATGTTCTTTTAAATGTTCTTTTTTTATTATATATATATATATATACATGCACACACACACACACATATATATATATATATATATGCACACACACACATATATATATATATATATATATATATATATATATATATATATGCACACACACATATATATATATATTATATATATATATATATATATATATATATATATATATATATATATGAGGATCTTAAGCCTTTTCAAGAGAATTTAAAAAATGTATAAGTTATAATGAAAAATTTAAAATTTTATTGTCTAGTTCTTAACATTTCTTGCCTTTTTTTTTTTAAATCTTTCTGTTTAAGGTGGACGGTAAGAATTCCTTCTTTTTATTAACAAATATACATGACTGTATATATTATCATGCACTGATAATGGTACATGATATATGCATACATAAATACATGTCTGTATGTGTGTGTCTAAAATATTCATATACATGTGGATATATGGATAAACGGTTTCCTTGTTTTTAATATCTTATTGTTTGAATCAGAAATAAAATGAAAATTTTAAAATGTTAAGTTGCATCAGAGAAAGTTGAATATATATATATATATATATATATATATACATATAAATTTGTATACACATAATCATACAAAGAAAGAGTTTTTCACATGTATATATGTATACATAAGTATATCCTCAATTTTTAATGTGTCAGTTTTAAATTTCCCCCAATTAGGCATGCTCAATTTGCCCATAAATAACAAGTCCAACATTGATAACAATAATTGTAGAGGTGGATGTTATAATGATTAAAATAAACTTGCCTCTTCATTTTTTTCTTCTTTTTGTGCTTCATTTTGCTTGGCTTTTTTTTAAACAATGCAAACAAAACAGATAAAAAGTTTAACAACAACAACAACAAAATTAGGAAAACAATAAAACCAAGAAATTTAAAATTAAAAGGAAAACAAAAACCAAGAAGAAAGAGAAAGAAAAAGAGAAATGTTAACAAAGAAAAAATTAAAGAAAACAAAAATAAAACAAAACAATGACATTCCTAAAGAAAATAAGAAATTTATCTTTGCCAGAACATTTCCCTTACTATGAAGAGGGAGAAAGCCATAAGAATAGGACCAGAGTTATTTTATCAATACAAATAATTATATCAGAACAATAAATTTTATCAGCTTTACTGAGGAACAGAGGATTCTTCCATTAAGACACCATCTGTTTACATTCGTCAACTTGTTAGGATCCACTGTCCTTTTCAAGATCCTCCGAATTCCCTGCTTGCTTCTTTAGGCTCTTGCGAGTTTGGTAGCCCTTAAAGCCAGCTTGGATTTTAGTGGCAGCCAGTTGGACCTGTGGATCCTCATAGTTGATAGACTTGTCATCCTTCTGTCCCTGGTCACCAGTAGCATCCTGAACAGCTGTGGCACTATCAGATTTTTGAGACATGGTTTCCTCACTTGCTGGATCCTGTAAGTTGGGGAGGAGAAAGAAAGAACAGGAAGAAGGGAAAGAGAAATGGGTAAAAAAAGAAAAGAAAGAGTATAAGATTGGCTTCAATTTTATACAATTTGCATTCACAAAAAAACAAATTTTGAATTATTTCTACACACAGAAAAAAGCCATTAAATAAAAATGGGTGCTTAAAAATTGCAATTATTCTGGTATAAAGAAAAATAAATATAAAATAAGCACAGTGAAAGCATAATTATTTATATTTTAAAGATCTAAGTATTGTTTAAATCCGACAGTTTCTTGGATTGTGCACTCATACTGGCAAATACTTTGCTTTTAAAATATGAAAATACCTTTTGAAAGCTTTTAACAATAAAAAGCTTTTCAGATTATAAGAAAGAAATGTGTGAAGGCCAAACATGAAAAAGCATAAAACTTTTCATTCAGCAATACATTCAACATGGGATGAAATTTCTTCATGTTTAACCTGATAATCATAAAAATACTAGTGAAATGTCCATTTACATTTAGCCTGCATACATTGACAATGTGTCAACAGATACTCTCATCTGCTAATCCAAAAATTGTTCAGTAAAATTTTTTTGGTTGTCTTGTTTTCATGACTAAAGGAAAATAAAATTACTTTGGCAAAAATCTCTCAAAGCAGAAAATTTCACAATAAGAGAAACTTTAACTATAAAATCTGATCCTATTTAATCCTAATATTTCCTCATTTTTAAGTGAGTGAACTCAAATTGATAATTATAAGTTAAATGTTATAAACTCATACTACATGGCATTTGAGTGAAACAATCGGAATAAATTTAGATCAAACAAGATAAATTTTCATTGATAAAATGATATATACTTTTTGTTATATTTACTTGTAATGATGAAGAATAATAAATACACAAATTTAAAACATCTCCACATAATCCTGGAATATAGTTCAATAGAAAACATCTTATAATTATTTTCTGTTCATCTACATTATACAAAATTATATTTTTGAGGATTTTACAAGAATTTATATAAAAGCTGAAAGTAAACATTCAGTAAAAGTACAAAGGGTCCCTGTTTGACAAATATGATAGTTTACATGAGAGATGACAATGCTAGTGCTTCTCTGAAAATGAATGTATTCAAAAAAGATATAACTAAGAGATTGATCAGGTTAAATAAAATAAATAAGCAGTGTAATTTATATACATGGATATGAGAAGCTTCTTTGTCTTCCTATATTTGAATAAGATTTAAAATATATTTGTCATTCTTTATTGAAAGACAAGAGTTTTTTTTTAAGTATCCTCAATATTAAAATTGCTAAACAGGAATTATTTTACTGAGAAAGCCAACAATACATAGAAGGTATTACAACATCAAAATGTAAGCACTGAGAGGTAAGGGGGAGGCAAAGAAAGATTTCTTCAGCTATACAAAATATAACTGACCATAGAAAAGCCTTGAAAATAAAAGAAACAATTTATAAATAAATAAAAGTATAAATTCATTGCAAAGTGCAACAAACATTGGCTGGCACAAAAATACAGAATAATGTTTGCATTTCCTCTCAAGTTAATTACTCCAGCAAATAAAATGAATGAAGATAATGGGCATCCAAATCTCGCTAGGAGAAGAAAATAAAAACAAAAAACAGAACAAAATGAACAAACACTATCCCTTTCCCATTAATATATTAGGTTGGTGAGAATGTTTTTTTTAAGTTCTTGGTATAGAATGGTTACAAAGTTTTTTCAATTCAGAATGTATGTAGAGTAGCTCTTATCATTTACAATCATTAGTTTCACATCAAAGAGATTTCTTGCAAATTATTGAGAATATATCTATTATATGATGTCAAAGCAAGTCCCATTTCAGCCAAATCAAGCTGGCAATTAAAGAGGGAACAATCATATAACAGCTTAGGATTAGCTTACCAAGTTTCAGTATGGCAAATTCAAAACACTGGGTTAACTGAGAAACAGTTAATTACACTCACTCTACCTAATTTTTTAAGCCCAATTTGGTTGCAATTCTGACATCTAAAATTGGCTCCACATTCATAGCTAAATTGATGTTTGCATGTTTTTGATTTTGTCAAAGTGTAGTCATGTATGACTTGATACGATCACCGTCACAATGATGAAAATTGGTGCAGACAAACCTTGACAAAAGAGAGTGTTTCTGCAGTAGCCATACCAGTCAGAGATTCATCAGAAACATGTTATGCACTATTGCTTGTATATCAATGCTTAACAGAAACTGCTTGAGCCAAAAAAGCTATCATTGCCAAGTGTACAACATATAGTTATGAAATGTGACTGATGGAATTTTACAAAACCTGCTTATTGCACAACAATACAAGATTACAGATTGCAGGTATCACTGTTAAAAAATGTTGCAAGTTCAGCTGTACCCACCCTAATCACTTGATTTGGTATCCTTTGATGACTACCTATTTTATCTTTGCAAATCTTACTAAATGATCAGCATTTCCAATATAAAGAGATCAAAATGGTACTGTAAACATCAACATTATTCTATTACAAACAAATCTATTTGCCTCTACACTTGCAAACAGTGATATGTAATAATGGCAGTTATATGGAATAAGAATTCTTTTTTTCTTTTGCAAAATAATAAAATTTAGTTGATTCCCCAATATGTTCAGAAACTTTCTTACCAATACAATACATGAAAAATTTATTGTTGTTCTTATATTCTACAATAATAATGACAAAAATAATAATGAAACATTTTTAATGCTTTCTTCAAAGAAAAAAAGCTTGGATAAAGTTATAGAACTGTTTTTGTTAATGCAAAAATGGAAATATGAAAAAGCAAAGACATTTTAAAAGCACTAATAGCAAAGTGGTTAGTTTGTGACAAGTTCTACCTAATAGTAGCTGAGAAATTTTTTCATCTAAAATTTTCATATTTGTTAAGTGCTTTAAACACATAAAAATTACATCATGAAGCTTTTAGAAAAATGTTTAAGATCCTGTGAATAAATTAGTAGTTGATTCAGTTATGTATTTCAAGTGAAAGCAGTTCTATAAACAATTATCAAGCTAACTGAAATAAAAAAAAAATGAGATAAGTCTATGAAAAAGTATCAGTTATATTATAACTATCTATTATATTACTAAAATGTAGAGATTTTTTTTATAAAACTACAATAATTGAGAAAAATTCTAAATAGATTTTCCCAAAATTTATATTTTTTCAATGATAGAAGGAAATTTTTTTGGTATTTTATTAAAAGCTTTTAAAATTAAAACAAGACATAAATGATAATTTTTTTTGTACAAGTAGATAATGTGTAAAGATCCTAAAATTCAAATCACTTAATGGTTTTCTCATCAGAACAGAATGAAAGCCAGAACAGAATTTTAGAAGCAGCTCATTTTAATGCCTTCTGTAAAGTATTGTAAATCTTCTTTTCAGTTTTTATAAAATATAGATAAAAAGAGCAAAATATCTTCTACAGCCACAAAGAGTGTCAAATTTCTATGGTAAAAAACATATGAAGCCATTGATAAGCACATACCTACACTTGGAACTTGTCATTTCCACTGAAACTATCTTTTGAGCCCAACTAAGGAAATCTTTGACTAAATAGACTATGAATTATTTAATGCGGAGATCATGGAAATAAATAACTGATAAAATGTAACTGGATAAACATAGCAAAATATACAGAGGCAATTTAAAATAAAACAAAAAAAAGAAAAGAAAAAGAAATACAGAATCACCTGTTGAAAATCTAAAATGAATAAAGTAATGCGTCATTCAAATTTGTTGAATTTTTATCAGATATTTGTAAACTGGATGCTGCTTTTTAACTATAAGCTGTTTGTTTGCAGAAATAAGCTTCAAAGAAAATATCACAAAAATGTAAAGGCAAAAAGTGAGAAATCGAAAATTGTGCAGAGATGAAAGGAAAAAGAAAAAATGCAGTATAAAGTGGTAGCCATGTTGCAGCAGGAGGAGCAGAATAGAAATTTTTGAGCAGCTTTACACAGTACCACATCTTCGTTCTTCATTACAGTCTTCCTGGTAATATGTCCACGGAAACTGGCTTGAATCTTCACGGCAGCAGCAGCTAATTCAGGGTCATTTAGATTTATGTCATCAATTTCACTTGACTTAGCCACAGTTGAATGGACTTCGACTGGAGTCGGAGTTTGTGAAGTTGGTGTTGGAGTTGGATTTGAGCTGCTGTTCTCCTGTAGGGGTTAGCAGTAAGAGACAGTTAGTGGCTTTGGCTGCAAGGGTTTTCTTTTTCACTGACTTTCTGAGCATTTCAAAAACTGTATTTGATTTATTTGTGGTATAGACAGGAAATATTCTGACATGATCAGAGATAAAAAAAGTCGTCATAAGATTAAAGTATAACTAATATTTGTCTTAGTAATCAGCATTAATTCTCACAGATGAATTGAACAAGAATAAAGTATTGAAAAAATTATTAACTGCTATAATAAACAACATATACTATCTAGAAGAAGATATTTAATGCTTGTATAAGAGAAATTTGTTTTTATTCACAGTTATATATATTGCAAATCAAGTTCCGAAATATACCTGTTTAAAATATCAGAACAACATATTCACTAGATAAACTTACTAAATAGAATATCCTAACTTGAACATTTAGCAGTCAATAGATAATTATTCTATAATTTAACACATTTGAAAATATTTCATATGGCAAAACAAAATATATGAATTTATTTTTAATGTATGAATTAAATGACATTTGAGTGAAAAGAAAAAACACAAAGAATCTGAATAAAGAATAAAGATAAATGTTATGGTCATCATTTTCATCAGCTCTGAAGATGATAATAAATAAATAGACACTTATTGAAGTATCATCAAAGAGAAATTGGCAAATAAAATAAACTTCTTCACTTTGTAAATTGAATGTTAAAAAATATAATGGATGAAAGAAAATGATATGTTCCGATGTTTAAAATTTCTTTATAAGAAACATAGAAATAATACAAAAAACATACCTAAATACTTTGTGAGATGAAGTCTCATTAGTATTTATGATTTTATTTAAAATGTAATATCTTCACTGTGTTTCTTATTTGCTAACTGGTTTGCTCTTCAATCATCAGCAGGTAACATAGCATAGATGATGTTAAAATTCTCTGCCTTCAACATTCATAACATTTAGCAGCCATTTAAAGAAAATATTTATTTTCCTTATTGGATAATAAACAAAATGAAAACTAAAATGCAGTTTAATGTTTAATTTCATGAAGAAGAATTTTTAGAATTTCCAGAAAGAAAAAGAAGCAAATACTTCATTAAAAATGTTAAAATATTCTGTTTTCAGCACAAAGCTAATAAATGTAGATAACACTGTAAAGCATTAAAAACTAGATATAATTTTATGAGTAGCAAAAGTTATGCATTATGTTGTCTGATGATGATTGTAGATTATACTATCATCTTAACAAAAACAGGGAAACATTCCAAGGAAGTTTATGTGATGTCGGGAAACATATTCAACAGAAAGCAACTTAATGTAAATACTTTTAGGAAGAGGCATTTAAAAATAGGAAAGGAAGATGAGAAAGACAATTAATGGTACATCAAACACTTACAAATAGAGGAAAACACATTTTGAATTAATGGAAAAAAAAGTAGATGAATGGAAAAGACATGAATAGCTAGATAAAAAAGCACACACATACACACACACATACATACACACATAGATATAAACACATTACACATCACATGATAAATATTTACATATACATTTACACACTTTATACATGCACACAAATGCTTTTGTATAAATAATATTAGTTTACTTGTAATTTGAAAATAGTTCCTCTTTGTTTGAAATGCTTGGATATTTATGGTAACTTCTCAACCAAGTTATGTAATCACTTTTATGAATGAATGAAGATTTGTGAATGGATGTAAAAATCTGGAAATAATTCCTTGGAAAAATCACAAAAGTATACCTGCCATGTTAGAAGAAGAGACAGACTTTCATCTTTGACAGAAGAAAATTTGTCAAACAAATAAAAAACCTTCAGCTAGTCTGACAGAAACTGAAAAGTACTTAAAAAATGAAAACATATACAAAGGTCCAAGAATGGATACTTGTAAAAATATGGCTGAATAAAAGAAAGAGAGCATTGCTTTTTTTATACAATAATAAGAATTATGATTAATTACAGAGCATCCTATTAGCTTTGTTGGAAGTGAGAAGAATTAAGAACTACTATTTAATATTATTTGACACATTTATTTAAAATGAAACTGTTTTACTAAGCAGACTCCTGTATAATTTGAGATAAATAACAGAAAAGATAGCATGAATTAAAATTTGATAGAAATGTGTAAATGTATGAATTGACAATTTGATGACATGCAGAAATGTTTTATTTTAGAAAGAATTATAATTTTGATTTAAATATTTACAGCTTTAGCACAATGATCTTTAGATAAATGTTACTATTTGTCAAATAGGTTGGAAGGTAGAATGTCAGTGGAGAACTTAAAAGAAAGAAATCAAATAGCAGATCTTAAAAAATATAGAAATTATAAACATCAATAAAACTCATAATGACACATTTCCTAATATTTCAATCTTTTGAATGTATATTCATGTATAAATATGTAAACAAATGTTCATAAAATTGTTGTTTCCTATAAACTATTTATGAATAATTCCAATTAATTATATCTATTATTAAATGCACTTATTGATTGAAATGCAATTATTGATAGAATTTATTGTTTCTAAATCAAAAGTCCAGACTGAATGGTGAATCAGAAAAACAATTGTTTTGTTTTCACAATATTGAAAATAAATTCTTTTTTTAATATTTTCTAACAATAAGTTGACTGTTTTGACAAAATAGCCAACAGAATTAATAAGAGAAAAATTGACACCTGTGACATTTCTCAATCCTCAACAACATAATATGATGTGATCAGAAAGAACAAATAACTTGGAAAATATAACTAGTATAGCATTAAGAGTGATGGTGTCTCTTGCATTCTTTTATATTTTACATATAGATTTTATTTGAAATCTCATTGGAAAGACAACTAAGATATGAAAACCTCTAAGCTATGTCATAATTTACCTGAGGCAGTATAAGTGTAATAAACATTCTGCTATTCTTAGAATTCAATCTATTATGTAATATTAAGCCTTAGAGTATAGGAACACTTTAAATATATGCAAAAATAAAAGGAATAAATAATTTGCTTTTTATATTTTTAGATTTACTTAATAAAATGGAATTTACAATATATTTCAGGATAATGTTAGAAATAAAAACATTCAATTTGACATTTCCATTGCATTTAAGAAGTCAATTGTATTGATCTTCACTTCAGAAATTGAGATTTGCATATGCATTGGATTTGGATAAAAAAAAAACCTTGAACAGTTTTGCTTTTACTCTCTCTTTTCAATCTAGCCTCATAGAGTACCAATGAGGAGAAAAAGGAAAGATTCAATTAATGTCTTTCCCAAAAGATTGCACACAAACTGGAATTAGTAAATAAAGCATGCAGTTGGTCTCTGCTGGTTAATTCTAATTGTCAGCCACCAAGTCTATTTTTTCATTTACAAATTATGAAAAAATTACTTGATGAAAACTCTTCTCCTATAAATTAACTTGTGTATATTTCCTGGAAAGAATGGCTTACAGAAGAGTATAAGGATCTTAGATTTGTCAAAGCAAGCATCAAATGAAGAATTACAATGAAGTAATATAACTTGATGTTTGTGCAGAAGAGAGGGCACAAAAATCCATAAAGTGTACATATCCTAAAATACACACAGAAAATGAGTATAAAGTTTATGCTCATTTTCTGTGTGTATTTAGGTATGAGATGGTGCCAAAAAGTTCTCAACCCAACTCAGAAGAGATTAAAAATTTGGTAATTTTATCAGATTTTTAGAAATGGTTGGGATGAGAACATTTTAGCACTCCCTTGTATGTACATGTTTATCTATATGCATGTATTTTTATTAGTGTAAGGAAAGTAACATAGGAGTTTTTACATTTAAAGATATCTGACAGCTGCTAAGTTGTTAAAAAATTCTTTAGCCAAAACAAGAGTGCTTGTCTTTTTATACTTGATAGTATCCCCTATGGTAACTTAACATGCAAATGCAGAATTGTAAATGTAAAATCACAGGAGGTGGTCAGATTTGTTGACTTGATATGTATTCTAATAAGGTATGAATGAGAACAGAAAGTTCAAAATCTTTCCTTCCAGGAAATATATTTCCTTAGCAAAATGCTCAATCTTATCATTACATCAAAAATACCACATCTACAGTAGTCCTCCATATCTGGTGCACCTTGCAAACATCAACTACATCAAAGAAGAAATAAAAATAAAGTCATGCTAAAGGCAAATTATTGATCCAAAACTACTGATGTATTATAATGGATGAGATGTTGTCAGTTGGGTTTATCATAACAGTTATTTGTGCACATGATGAACAGCAGAAGTCAGGAATAATTATTTAGAAATAAAGCACATATCCTTCAGAAGCATTATGGTTATAATAAAGTCAAGAAAATAAACACAGAATATGCTCCCATATATATTATTAACTTGTCTGAATACAAAATAATATTTATATCTACATGCAAGTTTGTGCATGATAACATTTAGAATTATATACCTGGAAAGCATAACTTCCACAGATATCCAAGTATATGCAGCATTTTTTTTTTGTTTCCAATTACGCATTTTAATGTTTTGGAATTAGATTTTAAATTTAATCAATACCTTTTTTTTAACCTGACTAAAATATATATTAGATTTCCATTCTTGAAAAAAAAGATTTTACAAATTAAGATTCCTAATTTAAAAAAGTAAAGCAAGTATTGATTGATATGCTTACAGTCATTTTTAAATGGCTCTTGATTGCTATTCTTAAGGTGAACCAAGGATTTAACATACAAATGGTAATAACTGATACTACTGCTAATACTTTGATTAATACTTTTAATCATTTCATGAACCTAAAGTATTCTGAATGTCTGGATTATTTTTTAATATTTTATAAGCACATAATTTATTATAAATAAGTGAATATAAATTATTATAAAATGAGAACAAATTATGTTCCCAATAAGAGACTATGACTACAGTTAGAAGATAACTCAAAATATTAAAAATAAAATTTAAAAGAGTCTGAGTTGCTATCAATCCATTAGTAAAT